GGGATTCAAAAAAAAAAAAAAAAAAAAAAAAAATGTTTCATTCTTTGGTTTCTTTGTTTGAGTAAATCTGATAAACCAATAGATGATCATTTTCAGTCAGAAACCACATAAAAAATATAAAAAATTCAGTAAAATTTTTTAAGAAACAGCTGATGGGCAAATGTTTCAACATCTAATCAAAGTTAGCATACTATTCAAAATTGTTCCAATACATGTATGGCCCCATCAACAAACTCCAATCCTAAGCTCGGTTAGCTCCTCATAGTTTTTATCCACATGAATTGAGACACGTTCATAATTCCCAGAAATCCACCGGTAGAGACTTCAGCTGCTCTTGCTGACGGTCTGAAAGTGAATAAAATAAAGAGAAATCACAACCAATCAAATAAAAAAACACAAAACCAATCAACATTGAAAGAATGAAAATAGTAACAGACCTTTAAATTATTAAAATCGAACCGAATTTGATAATCGTTATGCTGTTTTTAAAATTTACCAGCCTGCTGCCTGCCCCTGTAGTAAATATGTTGAGATACACAACCTATTTAACTGATTATTAGATTTCAAAAAAAGCAATTGTGGTCCAATTTTTCTACCAATGCTATTATTAAATTTCTAAAAGCCAACTAACCCTTTATTATGTGGTATTCACCCGATCAATGATCCTAAAACAAACACAAATAAATTTTAAGCAGGAAATGGTAGGAAATTTTAAGTACATTGTTGAATGCATGTAATCATTTTTAAGAAGGAAATATCAAAAATGTCATTTTGACTAAAATGAACTCAATATATTGAACTTTGTTGGAAATGAGTGAGCTGAATACAGGAAACCAAATAAGTTACTGTGAATTGATTTTTTTTTTTTTGTAAAAACTCTAAAATAAATCAAACTTCCCTCACACTTTTAATTCCTTGTAATAGTATCCTGATTTTGGCCACTGAAAACCACTATATGGCTGCATGGGTATAAGAAAAAAACCCCAACCCACGAGCAATTATTAGGGGCAAAATGGTCCCAATGCTGCAAAATGGTCCTAAAACAAAGTCAACTTATTTGGTAATGATCTTAAAACAAACTCAAAAACTTAAACTACCTGAAGTCAGAACTGGAGTTTCGAAACAAAGTAACCAACTTTTTCAGCCTGGTAACAATTCTCATCTTACAAATGAAACCCAAAAAAATCGAGAAAAGGGAAGAATTGAATCCTACCTCTGCTTTCTCGGCTCTAATCACCCTGGTTCAAGCATTTCCTCGAGCAGTTGAGGTGCATAATGCAACTCGCTTTCAAAGCTGAATGTCAATTGGGTGAGGTATTATTAGATCTTGTTCAAAGTTTTAAACCTAAAGATGAAGAGATGAAGAGATAAAGAGTGAGATTACCTTGCTTTTATAAAGTTATGACTAAGATTAACCATGATTATGTTTATGGTCCTTGTTCCAAGTAATCGGATAAAATTCCAAATAAAGATAAACAGATTAAAACAACCTACCCCTCCCTCATCAGTTTTGATATTGGAATCCCAGGTGAGATCCTGTGAAAACAATCAAAATATTAGGAAAGCAAAATATAAATCAAATCCTTGCTTAATTCCCGCCAATTCCTCAGCAGATAAACGGTCAGCAATTACCTGTAATTTTGTTATAATAAACGACAATTCAATATAAAGACACCCAAAAAAAAGAACAAAAAAAATCACAGGATAACGAATTATTACATACCCTTAAAGCTCTGTTCTTTAGTTTGTTCATTACAGAGAATTGCTTGAGTCTTGCTTTAACAGTTTCACCTAAATTAACATTTGTAGTCTTTATGGCGTTTTGTATCCATGTATCATCTGAAATAAGTTGATAGACAGAAAGGTTAACTTAGAAAAGGGTTAAATACATATAATATAACACATGGTAAAAAGAAAAAGACAACATGGTCATGAAAAAGTAAGGATTTTAAGATTACGCAACTTTGGGTCAGGATTTAGCACCTTCTTGACAATATCTTTAGCCGCATCAAATACCTTTGGCCATGGATCCCTTTTAAAATCCACAGAAGACAATCGACTAGGGCTGACAAATCGATGATGGATGCAGCGGAGGAAGGAGGCTGATAGAGGAAGGGTAAAGAAAATTTTGTGGAGGTCATCAGGAACGAAGAGGGAGAAAGAAATTAGCGTGGTGTGGGTGGTAGAATCTGACAACCATTGCTTGTATTGCCGGAATACACACCAAAATCGTAGCTCTATGTAAACTCGACAGAACCGTAGACCGGCAGATGTTCGCCGGAATCGCTACCCTCTTCGGAAAAACCCGCCGCAGCCTCACCTATCACTCTCATTGTTTCTGTCGGTCGGTAGAAGAAGAGGACGTACGTCAATGGCAGTGACGTTGTTGTAATCACAGGGGAAAAAGATAAATGAATCGAAATCTATTAGGAAAGAGGGGGTAGCGGTACCTGAAATGTTTGTCAAGCCCAAAATCCAACCCTAATCTTTGGTTCCTCATCGATAGCTTCTATAATCCTGTTGACCACTAAAAGCTTGAAAGGAATAAATGGTAAAATTGTATCTGTTGTATATCCAAAAGGAACTTGTACAATAATTTATATATAGGAAAAACAGAAGTGGTGCCTAACTTAAGAACAAACATACATGTGAGTAAGGTGTTGTTTGTTTTTTCGAAGCGAAAATGTCTTAAGTCTGCGGACCACCTCTGCAATCCTCTGTAGTAGAATAGGTGGAACAAAAGGCTGCAACATTTAATAAAAAGTCTGTTTGTTTTTTAACGTCTGCAAACTGCTGCAGTAAGTTAAAGTATGGCGCGAAGAGGTTTGAAGCAGTTGGTTTAGTGCTACGCCACGCAGCACACACGCAGCAGTTTTTAAGTCAGAAGTCTTCAGGAAAACAAACAGCTGCGAAAGGCCAAGTGTTGCACGGCGCAGCAATAAGTGGTCTGAAGTGGTTTTTTTTTAAAAACAAACAGCACCTAAATATCCTAATGACCAGGTATAACTTGACTTATTCTATTTCTAGCCGTTATTACCCCCCTGCAAGGTCAA